ATGGAAATTCGGTTTGACTACAATTAACAACCTCAGCGTAACTACTGTACAATAACAATATAGATGCACAATATAGATGCACATATGAATGACATTCACACACGAAAAACACATACACATAACCAGTGTTTTATAAATTATTTCTATATCCTTCTCGATGACGACAGAATGTTAATTTTTAATGTTGGTCATCCAGGGTCTATTATTACTGAATGTTTTAATTTTCTTTTTTGGTACAATCATGTTTTCATGATTGGATGTATGTATTAACAGTTGTGGTAAGTTCATCTGTCTGGGCAGTTGTTTACAAACATGTTTTAATGTGTTTGCTCCAGACAACTTTGTAGCTGTAAAATAGTGTCGTCAGACCATGACTGGATGGACTGTACTTCGCGTTTTGTTGTTTTTAAAACCGGTTTGTACGTGGGTGTAAGATGGATTATTGTGTGGTCCGACTCTCCGAGGGGAAATAATGATCGAGATGTGTAGGCCATTTTTATGTTGCTATAACACAAGGTTTTATCGTGCCGTGTGGGACAATTAACAAAATGAGTATATGTTGGCAAGTGTTGAGCTAAGGAAAGATGATTTAAATACAGATGTGATCTCTATTCTCAGGTATAATTGTATTTGATATAGTTAAGAAGCATTCATATTAATTGTTAGGACAACAATTTACATCAAGTTTGCAATGGACCACATTGCACAATCTTAAACAATCAACATTGAGCCACATAAGGAATCAAAAATGGTTATGTGGCAGCTATAACAATTGTTTTTATCAATAATTATCATGTGACCATTCGTTTTTGTGAGGTTTATTGACAAAGTAAAATTAAGAACATGGGATATAATTTATTCATTAATAATTTGGACAGATTTGTATGTAATATTTTAGTGTATTGGTATAAGCCATCATTTCTAAATGTTTGACTTACTCCCCCACCCCCTCCTGACATGCTTGCAAGGACAGGTGCATTTCTTTTTAAAACAACACATTGTCATTATAAATGCCTATTTGAGTAATAATCAAGTAAAAGAAATCATATTAATCATGTTTAAAATATAAAATAATTGCATTAATTTGTGTTTTAGAAATCATCTTCAAAGTTATACCTTTCATACTATTTTCTAAAGTGGTGTCAGTAACAAGATTCAAACATTTCAGTATGTCTTTAACAATGTGTATAAGTAAAAGTTCACCTTTCAGACCTTGCAATCTATAGGGCAGATGATGCTAAGGTCATCTGTTTCTTTGGCCAACAGTTAACGAGCAGGGTGTCATGTGGGCAGCACAATAACTAACTGCCTTTACTTTCCCCAACTAAATTCAGGAGCAGGATTCAAACCCAGGACCCTAGGTTCAGAAGCCGATTGCTTAACCACTCAGCCTCTACGCCCCCTTTGATTCTTTTTTTTTTTTTGATTTTTCTAATTTTTCATCAATGACATGTAATCATTCTTTTGTGTGAGTAAAACACAATACAAAAGTCTGATTTCAGCATCTTTAGTAGAGTTTGCAAAACACAGAAATAAAAAGTAGCACTTTTAGTTTAGAGTGTTTTACCTTTTTTTTTTTGGCATTGTAAGGCATTTTTTTATTTCCAAAGCTGTGGGCCTTCGAAATATTTATTTTCACTCACTGATTGATGCCTGTTTTTTTTTTTTCCATTCAGCTTGCCTTCAGTGGTCAGGGAAAAGGAGTGATAACATTGTCATAGATCCCATTTCATAAAAGTGTGTAATCATGTATTTGGTATTACTATATTCTTCTTCTGCTATCTATATTAATGTCAAAGCAGAAAGTATACAAAAAATAAAGTCCTCCAAATATTTCAAAATATTTTCTTCCTTTTTCTGAAGCCATTGATACTTATTATGATCTGATGTGTCTTATGAAGGGAAAAATATGACATTTGAAAACCAAAACTTTTTATCAAAATAAAACCAGCTCGTATTAATAATTTTTTTTAGATATGTACTGAACTATTTACGAACATTCAAGTTGATTGTGCCGATGGGATACAGAGATCTAGATATTCTGAGAGAGGAAGCAGCTTACTATGGTCTGGATAAACTGGTAAAACTTAGATTTATTAGAAATAACAGTAACTGAATGCTTTGAACTGTCCACTTGGTCAATTACCTCACTACAAAAAGTTAAAAAGTAAAGTTTACTGTGAGACTTTGATTTTGTTTGGTAAATAAGATGATGTGTTAGGCATTTATTATGATACTGTCATCTTGAGTGCCAGTTCCACACACAGCTATCCTGGATGTGATAATCATTCTTTCTGACCTTTCTGTCTAAAAATTATATAAACATTTTAATTTGATCCAGTGCTGCCACCTGTAATGATTTCTTTGTTAAACCTTGGAAATTCCATTAACTATTAAGACTTGAAATTGCTTGCCAAGGTTCATTTCATTTCAAAACTAAATGCTTTGTACATGCTAAGTCATTCTATCCCATTTAGCAATTACTGGACTCAACTTCTAGATTGTCATTAATTCTTGTCTTCTCTGCATCTTCCATTTGCCTTGAGTATGTCATATTAATTTCTTGAATGCATTCCATCTGCCTTGAGTTTGGCTCATTAATATCTTGATTACTTTCTCTTTGGGAAACAATGTTATATCAAATTAGTCAGTTATCAAAAATATATTTTTTGCTCTTTATCCTGTGTTACATGTATTAATTAATTAAAATTTAATAGCAAACAATTAATCCTTACATATTTATGTTGTTTGAAGGTAATTGCTATTGATAGTAATATTGAAATGAAAAAGAAGAGAGCTCGCTGCAGAAGATGGAACGGAGCTGCCAAGAGGCTGAGCGCCAGTGTTGGAGAGAACCTTAATAATCTTCCAGAGGATGATGGAGACGATGATTTTTTTGAGGACAGCTGGATAGGTGGGGCTACCAGTCAAGCTGTTTTATAACTGGCTGGTTTTTTTTTCAAACACTTTCCTTCAAAGAAATCATGTTACAACTGAATGCTGCTTCAAGGATTGCAATATGTTATTACTTCAGTCTTGATTGCAAGTGTTATCCAATATTTTTATATTGCATTACTGACTTTTATCAGACAAGCATTTAGAATTACAAATACATATTTTAATGTATGCAAGGTACTGCTCACTTCCTGGAGATCAAATTCAAACTTTTTCAGATTTTTTTTTAAATTATAGAGTTGGTAACATATATTTTGACATATTTAGAGTTGGTAACATATATTTTGACATATTTTACATATACACTTTTATAGAAGTATTTTTTTTTTTGTTATTTATACATTACTTTTCAATCTTGCCTTCCAGTTTACTGATTTCGGCTATGACATTGCTATTTATAAGTAGATAATGAATAAGTTAATTTTTTTAAATATAAGATGTAATATCTTAGGGATGGTTAATGGTATAAGATAGCTGCCTGGTTCTGTGGCATGAGCTTAGAAATGTTGTCTCAAAAGTCCAGAGTTCAAACCCTGCCATCCTGCATGAGGTTAGCTCTAGTATGTAACTATCTTCATTTCTGAAGTAACACATACTTATTAAACAAACAAACAATAATAGCTAAGAAAAGTGTCTTTTTCTAAAAACTTATTGCAAATACATGATCTTAAGTATTGATAGATTAATGTATTGAAAAAAAACAACTTATATTAAAATTATTTTTTTATCATGTGAGCCCTTAATTCTTTTTTTATTTAATTTTCTCAACATTATTTGTTAGTTTGATTTAATAATTTTGTCAGTAATTAGTTGTGCACTTTGTGCCTTTCGTTAATTGCATTTCCTTAACATTTTCGAACCCACTGTTAAGTCAGATGCTAATTAATCAGCTCTTCACACATCTGTGAATTAGGAGTGCTCAGATATTTAGCGCCACTTCAAGGTATGTTAGCTATTTGTCAGAGACTGCTGTGCAATATAAATAGCTAATTCCAGAAGATTCTTTTGTAGTTTTCTTAGCAGAAGTGGATTGAGTTTATTAAAAGAAAATCTGGAAGATTAAGAAATGACAATCATGCTAGTCCCTTGTATTGATATTGGGAGCAGGTTCAGCTTAAGACATTAGCCATGAAACTGAAATATTGTGCAATACATTTTTTTTTCCAGTTATTTTTACTCTTTAGTTTTCAGCTTTTGATATTTCTATTTAATAAATAGAATTTTTAAGATAATTGTTTTGAATTTGTGTTACAGCAAGAACATTCCTTAAAGTGAAATTAACAAATAAACAAGAAAGTAAAAACAGTTTATTAATAAATACCAAAGTTATTCTCTTTTCAAATAAAATAACTAGCACAGGTATTGAAACATTTAAGTTTATCAATCCTAGTCTTGAGCATTCATAATAGTTATAATGACAATGCTTCGAATCTAAGATCTTCTGAGCGCAGTGTTTCACATGACACGCAAACCCAGTTGCGACCTGCATATTTTTCCATATCTCATGCAGACAAAACTGTTGTCTGCAGGTGGTCTATTTAAGTTTTATTTTCATCTTTATTTAGTAAATTATAAAACTAATGGCCAAACATTTTTTTTCTTTCAATTATCACATTTTTTTTTTCAAGTCTTTTAAAGATATTAAATTCATAATATATTTTTTTTTGAAGCTACTGCTGTACATTTATTTAAACAAATAAAATAATCATGGAGCGATGAGTCCATTTAGCTATTTTGTGTAGATATTTAATCCACATTCAATGCTCTTATACAGCTTCTTCCATAAAATGTTTGCTTTGTCATTATTCCTTAGTTTCATTAACACCTCAAAAATGTAAAAAAAAAAAAATGTCATATATACTCACATTATCATGTCATTTTTATTAATAATATTTGTTTGTTTCCTTAAACAATATCAATTTCTGATTGCCTTGAGAAATTTAAAATCATTTTAAACTAGCCCGTCCTAAAAAGATTATTTAGCTTCTTGCTAAGCCAACATTCCATTAAAAAATTCTAAGAATTCTAATGATTTGGTTGCTCTTAATTTATAAAAAAAATAGAGTGACGAAATATTGTGGCTTGTGATGTGTGTTTTTTTCTCAAAGTTGTTTGATAAGAATTGCAATTTAATATTCACATTATATCATATGTATATGATTTCTGATGTATAATATTAAGACTTTATGGGAAAAATCTCATACATTATTGTATTTTGGTTAAAAATGAAAAAAAAAATAACATTTGCTTTTTTTTCTTTCAGATAATTTAAATATTAATTCATTTCTATTTATTCAATGGTACTATTGTTCTAATATTGATTGACTAATAGCTCGTTGAAGGGCATAATTTAAGGCTTCAAATACTTTTCTCTGAGAAGTTTCAGGTGACTTAAGTTGAGCCCTATGTAAGCCTTGTAACTTTGCTCTTCATCAACTTACACAATGAGATGTTTTCATCAACCTTCTTTGTTGGTTCATTTCCATTCAAATTGTGTTCCAATGTAGCACCTGTCTAGCCAAGGTTTGTCTGTTTTCCACTGCTTCTTTGACATTGCAATAAGATGCTTTCTAGTATCACTTGTGTTTACGAGGTTCACTCAAGTCAAGGATATATCATAAGCAATTCTTGGTTCCAGTAAATTTGTAATCACAACAGCACAAATAGACCACATATGTTAACATGCAATATTTTCAAAAACTTGTAGACTTTACATATTTCAGTTTTATTAAATGTTTGCAAGTTAATTATATGTTGTTAAAATCAGAGTAGCCTATTAGATAATCAACCGCCTTGTTTATTTCGTACTATTGGACCTTGTTTCATAGTAAACAAAAGTATTGAACTGAGCAGTTTACTCAGACCTCAGCATGTTGATGTCACATGATCATCAATTTATTGAGCAAGGCTATTAACATATTTTTTTATTAGATGGCTGCCTGGTCATCTGGTTAGCACTTAAACTGTCATCCTGATGGTCCTGAGTTTGAGCCCTGTCCACTTCCCTCCCCTTGCCATCCTGCTGGAGGTATAGACTTAAGATTTAATAATCTTCATTTCTGAAGGAACATAAGAAATTTATTAAGCAAAGCAAACAATCTTTGTATCTATTCATATTGATAAAATAACTGAGCAAGTTAGCACAATCAATGACGCAGTCCAAAAAACAAAACCTTAGAGCTGAAAGATTGAATCTCACTTAAAAACACATTGCCTTCTATTCAGTGAAGCAATTTATGAATGTTTCAAGCACAATGGCTGCCTGGTTGGGCAGTTTGCGCGCTGGACTGTCGTTTAGATTTATCAATGGTCCTGGGTTTAAACCCTGCCCACTCCCATCCTCCGTCGTCCTGTGGGAGGTTTGGACTAGGAAGTAAACTATCTACAACTCTTAAGGAACATCCAAAACATGTAAAACAAACAAACATCTTTTTCAAACCCTATACATTTTCTTGTACTATGCTCTTCAAATATTATTTCAGCTGTTGTAAAATCAATGAATTTTTTATCTTAACTTATTCACATTTATGACTAAATTGTCTAAAATTCCATTTGGCTAAGTTGTTTAGCAACATCTGAATTATCATTCACTAATAGTACTAAAAGCATTCTGTCAAATTAAAATACATGTATTAAATATATCTTTAATGTGGCTATGTTCTTATAAATTTTAAAGATTTCATCAGCAACTTAATATTTGAGATTATTTCTATTATTTTCATCTGTTGTAAGCATTCATTGATCTAATAATGTATCAGAAAGATACATTACAAAATGTTTAATTGAAACACTTGGACTATTCACTCTTTTTGTCCTACTTTTTACTTTAACATCAGTGTATGCTGTTTTTTTTTTCTGTCTATACTTGGTGTCAGAAAACTTTTTTTGCGAGTTTGCCAACTTCATAAGTAAGGCTTATTGTTTACTGAAACAAATGTGGACATCAGTACTGAAAGGCAATAGCCTGAATAAATAAACTCAATAACATACTTAAAGTAGAGTATGTTGTTGTTGTTTTTTTTCTTTGTTTATTGTTGTTTTTTGTGATGATATTTTAACCATATTGACTCATTTTTTTCTTAATTTTTTATTCTTCTTAACCATTATATATATATATATACAAAAATTAGGTAAGACTTTGAGTTATTTTAGTTGGAAGTAAAGCAATTCTACTTTTGAAAGATAATAACTAGATCTATTATATTTTTACTTGTAGATCACATTTTTATGCTGTTGTTTGATTTGATTTTTTAATTTAATTCACAACAATTTTAACAGTTGGTATCTTAATAATCTAAAACTTGAGGCTAGTCAGTAAATGTAAAATCTGAGAGAATCCTTCTCTTTTTTTTTAATGTATGTTTCTTATTTACTAGTTTGTGCTAATGTAATGGGTTTGATACCATGTTTATTATTAGCAATAGGGTAGCGCAAAAAGTTACCACTTTTATATGCTTAGTTTTTTCCTAACAAAAAACATTCCACCATTTGCCAGAGATATTTTGTTAAAACTTGAATATCCTTGAACTATTAATGAGAATTTGTCATACATATATTTTTTAAAAGTATTTTTATGATAATATATTAAAAAACACAAACAATATCTAATCCAATGTTAACAAATAATCCTAAATTCATGATTCCGAAAAAAATATTTAAGCCCAGTTGTCTTATTATTTTTTTTTTTTTTACAAAATAGCTGAACTCTATAGTTAGGTATTCCATAGTTTATAAGGTACTCCATAGACTGCACTGCTTTTTTAACAACCCTTGCTTCTTATTTCTTTTTAGTCACATCCACTGTAAGAATATTGTCCTAAGAAATGGGGTATTATTGCTTTATAAGGAATTGAATAATGGTCAGAAGCAACTCCTAAATCTTTGTTGACAACATGACAGGAAATCCTGTTTTTATTGAACAAGTTGGTTGGGGCACATGCTATTACAGATTTTAATTATTTCATAATTCAAGCCTTATTTTTTTCAAATGGAAATGAGCACTCCTGAGAGGTTTATGAGTTCAAACAGAAGTCCACGGTTTTACTGTATTCAAACTTAGAGCTACCATTTCATGTATTTATTTATAGTTCTATGTATGTCCTATAACTGTTTTTATTGATTTGCAGATTTTACAAATTGGTTTTGCATTGAACAATCACAGGTACCACTTCATGTATTTATTGTTTAAGTTGAAGACAAAATAATGATACAATTTTGTTTGTCTTAGAGTTTTACTAATAAGTTTGTTTATATCCTTTTGAACCCCATTTTCTCCAACATCTGGGACATTGTTCAGTGTTATGGTGTGCATATAATATACCTGAATGGCCCACTTTGTGAGTTGGAGGGGGGGGTGAGGGGGGAGAAGGAGCTGTGATTATATATATATGATATATATCCTGACAATTTAAGGATAAAAAAAGCAAAATGGTTTCATAGATTTAGGAAATACTAAAGCAATCACAATTGACATCATGTGTCTGTCTGTCCTGAGCACTCTGCACAAGGTGTATAGCTTGTCAGATCATTGAATACATCCCTCTAAATAAGCCTCCACATTTGTTCTTAATCATACACAATTAGACCCAACAATATCTACTATTTTATTTAAATAATTTGCAATATTAAGGCTGTGCGTTCTGATTTTGTTCTCATTTCATTGAATTATTTTGCCTATTACCTCCCTTTATCCCTTTATGTTGATTTTGTGTTTACAAGGAATTTTTATTTTTTTTTAGTTTTTGTTTGTACCACTTATTATGAAACAGGATGAAGGTGCTTTTAAACAACTATTTTTTTTAATGCTGTCATAGGTATATAGTATATGGCTGTGGTATTAAAAGTATAAATAAGTACCTAGTCTGTTACTCTTCCTAATATGTGATGTTTTAATTTGTTCTGATTTTCATAGGGAACTGATCCTATCCCTAACCCCCCTTATGGTCATCTAATTTAATTTAAAAAAGAAAAAGATTATCATTTATGTAATACATTTTTATCTTTTTTTTGGGGGGGTAGCGTTTAAATTTTTGACAATTAAGTATTTTGGTACTCTTTTGTAGAGGCTATTCTTTGAATGGTAATTATCTTTCATTTGATCACAGCCAGAGATTTTATTGTTTTTGTATTAGGTAAAGAAAATATTCCATTTCATCCAACTAGCGGATATTTAAGAGACCCTGGGGAAAAGAATAAGAAATAAAATTCTTTTTCCCACTTATGAAACCTGGTGTAAGTTTTCTTTCATTATTTTTTTGAATACTGTACTGAAAAAAGTTTTCATTTAATTATATACACTAAAAGTGTCTTTTGATAAATGGTTGACTGTAGCACTATAGTATTCTTTTCAACTGAGTAGTTTCAATTATATTAATATATTTCTTAATTTAATATGTGGTGGCTAAATAGTGAAAATTTAATATTTAATGGTGATATAGTTGTGGTGGCCACACAACACTCTGCTGTTAAAAGTAACATTTATGTTGATCTATTATTGCTCTTTTGTTCCCTGCACCAAAGCATTAAGAAGGCCCAGTGTCTTTTCAAAATAATTGTTTACACAGGACTTTACCTTTAAACATCAATGTGTAAAAAAATTAGAAATTTGTTTCGAAATTGTATCATCAGTCATACAAATTTAATCTTTGATTTTTTTGTTTTCTGTAATTGTAAGAGTATTGACTTTGTTTTAAATATTACTGAACAAGTCAATGTGACACTGAATTAATAATAAATCCAGAGATAGAACACTTTAATTTTCATTTCGACAAAATAAAGATAAATAAACTTCCTAAAATATTCATATGATTTGTTTGTTTTCAATAGTTATGAGATGTATTTGTTGTATATAATGAATATGATGTATATGTTGTATATGGATGTGTGGTAGCTGAGTGGTAAACTCTTGGCTTCTGAACTGAGGGGTCCTGGGTTAAAATCATGTAGAAGACAGAAGGTTTTTTTTTATTTTCAGAATCTTTTAGGTTGCCTGAGTCCACCCAGCTCATATGGGTACATTAGTTTGGAAAAAGTAAAGGGGGTTTGTTGTTGTGCTGGCCACATGACACCATCATTAACCGTGGGCCACAGAAACAAATGACTTTCACATCATCTGCTCCATAGAAGTAATTTGTAGGCAGTTTTCATTAAACGTAATTATCATCTTAGAAAATAGGCTCATTCAAAGTGAAAATAAAAAGTTAACATTATAAATGTCCAGACAGCAATAAAATCAATCTGACAGAATTAGTGATACACGTTGAATAAATATCCCCACTGCTCCGCCTAATGCATCTCCATTGCCGTTTGATTTTATATTTCTGCTCCAAATTTTGTGATTATGAATGCCTAGTCTAAATTTTAAGGGTGCTGTGACAGTTCTTGGGGTGCCGTGACAGTTCTTGGGGTGCTGTTACAGTTCTTGGGGTGCTGTGACAGTTCGCGTAGCAAAACCCCGCCCCTCTTGCCTGTCAAACGCTGTTGCCCAGCCAGCTTTTCTTTAGACAACCTTTTCTTCATGCTCCCTCCACTGTAAATTGAAGAAGGATCTTTGAATTTTAAAAATTTGACGAACCAGCTTAGCTTTCGGCATTCCTTTTTTGTTTTCAATTCACTACCCTTTTAAATTGTAAGTAATATTGACTATGACGTCATCAGTTTCTACATTACTTAGAAGCTGTTATCATTGTGTCCAGACAAAGTTATTTCCGTTTCCTAGTGACGCCCAACATTTGTTCTTGTAGGCTTACAACTTTGTTCAACAAGTTTATAGATGTAAATCTAGAGTTAAGTTTAGAGTTTGGATATTTACCATGGAGCAAATCTTCGCAGCAAAGACTAGAATATGTCGCTGTTTATTGTTTTTTTATTCCTTACTAGTAGACTTGTTACTTATCATGGCAGGTTAGACTTTGACTTTATTTAGTTGACTTACATTTGATTAAGTGAAAGATTGGAGCCAAAATCACCAGTACATGCATGTAGAATTGAGATCTAAATCTAGATTGTTCTAGAGTAAAAATTAGTCAGGCACTAAACTAGATCTAGAGCTAGAATATTTAGGCCTATATCTAAAATACTTTTAAGAATGTATGTAAGTAAATACTGCTTTTTTATTTGGCAAGACAAAATAGACTCTTTTAGGAAATAACCTAATCCACAATATTCGGAGTCAACAACGACTTTCACCTTTCACAAACTTGTATTAGTAACGCGCCATCCACCCCTACCCAAAGACATACACATATAAAAAGGGGTACCCCTGAGCCAAGGAATGTGTCTATTGTTTTCGATCAAAATTTTCGTGAAATCAAAGTTTTTTGGGTAGGTTTACTGTTACTGTATAACGTAATGCGTGCTAATTGGGAGTTGCGATAGCAATTTGTTCGTATACTGACATTAGTTCGAGGGGAAAATGTGGCACAATTCCATGGCGCAAAGGGAGGTCACTGAGGAACACATGAGGAGATCAAATGACTAATATATGAGAGCACCTCATCATTAATGTAGCACTGATGACAAAGTGTGGCTAGCTTGTTATTGATGTAGGCCTATATAGTAGGCCTAAATAAGAGATGATCATTTACCAGTTGATTCGATTATCTACTTTCTAGCTAACATCAACAGAGAACAGAGTACAGATACATTTGGGGGCTATTGTGGTGGATCACATAAAACGTGCAGCAACCTAATATATTCCAATTGTGTTTATTTATTTTTAGCTCGGTGTACAGTCCTTATCGTGGTGCCATTGCAGAAACATAGAGAGGCAAAAAGAAAAACAGAAAAATACTTAAAACAACAACAAAGCGTATATTAAGCGTATTTGTATCAATTAGTTTGAATCAGTCATAGAAATAAATTTGTAATAGATCTAGACTAACAATAAAAAGCACTAACAAAAATTCAAAAAGGGGGGGGAGGGACGACCTGAATTCGATCTTATGGCAAGCTTTCTCAGGATTCTCAAGCCAACACAGTAACAACTCTTAGTGGAAAGCCTATGAGCATGAAAGATTGTAGAGTTATCTATCTTCTCTTTAGTTTCGCCCTATGTTTCATGTTGTGTTTACTAAGACTCATACGACGATGTGTAATTCAGTGTGTACCACCACTTCAGTCAATTACAAATTCTTTCCTTTGTTTGAGATAACCAAACAAAATAATTAATTACCAATAATTAATAAACTAATTGGTTACTTTGTTTTTATTGATTCCTGTGTTGTCAGGTAAAAGAGAGAATTGTTCCTACGCGTTGTTTCTCGTACACCTGGACTTGGATCAAGTTGAAATTTTGCATAATTTTTTCTTGTACTTGGTAAAACAAGAATTACAAAAATTAAAAAAATAATAATAAAATAACAAATTAGTTAATTATCTGTTGGTAATAGTTTTGTTTTTGTTTTGTATCGAACAAGGGAAACAAATAGTACCCTTGAGGAGGCTTGTGCCCAGAGTGAAAACGTTTTGTTATTTTTAATGCAGTTAAAAAAAGCGATCACGTAACATTAACAGAGATACCCCTCTCTTTGACAAAGTTCACCACCATAGTTTGCTTAAAAAATTAAAATATTTCGGCATTAATGGTCCACTGCATCAGTGGATTACAGATTTTCTGATAGGGAGAGAACAAACTGTAATAATAAATGGCTCTAAATCAACACCAATAACAGTAAACTCAGGTGTACCTCAAGGAACAGTCTTGGGTCCACTATTATTTTTAATTTACATAAATGATTTACCAAATTGCATTAGTTCAGGAACAAAAGTCAGATTATTTGCAGATGATTGCATAATATATAGAACAATAAAAACAACACAAGACACAGATATTTTACAAAGAGAATTAGATGAATTACAGAAATGGGAATCGAATTGGAGCATGTCTTTCCACCCAGAAAACGTCAGTTGTTAAGAGTAACAAAAAAACTAAAACAAATTAATTCCACTTATCTTATTCATGGTAAACCAGTAACACAAACTAAAAACGCAAAATACCTAGGTGTTATAATAAATGAAAAACTGTCATGGAATCCACATATTGATGAAACTATAAAAAAAACAACAACAAAGCATTAGGGTTTATTAAAAGAAATTTTTAAAAATCAAATAAGAACATAAAACTAAAATGTTATTTAACCTTGGTTAGGCCAATAATAGAATATGCATCCTTATAAATATATTACCATTTATCTCTAGATGTGGACGGAACTGGAAAGCCAAACAACTGCACAGGTAATTGGCCTTCTTATTGATGAGTTAATGAATGGATGGGTCGTTAAGTGGAATGGTTGACCCCAGGACCAGCTTTAGGCATTGGCAAACCAAGCAGCCTCCTAGGGCCTCCTATTGGTCGGGGGCATCAAATTTGAGAAGAAAATAGTGAAATTTGATCAAATTTCAAGCTTAGCATCGCTCTAAGGGTCTATGTCTACTATTTATTATTAATAATAACTAGTTTTTAAAAAAGCTTTCGAAAAAATGTTGAGGCCGCCATCCATGCGGCCTCAGGGACTTTAATTACTAAAATCCCGACCTGATGACCTGATGAGTGGATGAATAAATGGATGGGCTAGTAGGTGGCCTTGTTGACTTAGTACTAGTGTAGAATAATGAAAGGATGGTAGATGGTTGGATGGAATGATTGATGGATTACAAAAGGTGGATGGCCGTACGAAAGAATGTTTGGATTGATAGATAGAAAGATCTAAGTATAGATAGGCAAGAGAGGAGAAGAGATAGATAGAAGAATGAATATGAATGAATAAATACGTTAACAAAATTAGATAGATAGATAGATACATTTAATAACACACTTTTCAAACATCTTTAGATGTCCTAGATGCATATCTTTCAATAGAAGGCCAGAAGATTGACCTAAATAGCACCCTATGTTTAGTGACTTTGAAAGAAAACTTTAAGAGTCAATACTCTGCCTCCTTCTGTATACCTCACATCTACGTAGAGCACACTATGAGAGCATACATCAATGACGAGAAAATAAATAGCGTGACCATCAGTAAGTTTGTTTCGTCCCATATGGAAATAGTGAAACATTTTTATGTTTATATAATATTGTAAGTATTGTGTTCGCCACATTGATTTAGTGTGTTCCTGTAATAAGTATCTTTCGTCAGTTCATCTATCATTAAAGTGTAATGAAGTCTTCTGCCTTGTTTTAGGTTACTCCCCCAGTGTTACTTTATTTCTTAGTACACATTCTTCTCGTCCAAACAGGCAAGTTGACTTACTCTCAGAAATGTTGTATGACTTGATTGCAAAGACGTCTGCGCCTAGTGATGCGGTATAAGAATAGGAAGGCAGAGGCGTAGTGAGAGGGAGGCAAGGGTGGCACGGTACCCCGGGCGCCGCCCTAAGGGCGACGCAATACGCAGATGCGCCAAAAGAAAAGTAAAATTATTGTAGACATTTTTGTTAGGTAATACATTTAAATGTTCTGTACTTGTAAGCCTATATTTCTATGTGATGTTTATGAAAAAAGAGGAGGGGGGGGCGCCAATAAATTTTTTTGCCCCGGGCGCACATTTTGCTTACTACGCCTCTGTAGGAAGGATAAAATAACAAAGATGAGACGGGAATCGAAACAATGCATATTCAATCCGCTATAGCCCAACCTTTTAAGACATGTGGGAGATTTCCATTTCCGACCCAAGTGTCACTAACCACCTCACAACATAACAATCAAATAGTTCAATGGAACAGATCCACTGCTACGAAGTCCCGTTTGATTGCCTACATATTAGGGAGGTTGGGACGACCAGTTGTTCTTGAGCCAGTCGTGA